TCGACCAATTTCAATTACTTCCATACTCGGAGCGTATATTGAACTCCCGTTTAACGGCATACCTTGAACAAAATGACCTCCTTAGTGACCGGCAATACGGGTTTCGCCGAAATCGGTCAGCTGTATGCCCGGTATCTATGGGTATGTAGACGATAGCACAGTTGTGGAGAGATACCAACCAAGTGCTCGGGCTAGTGGGGATCAAATCCAGTCCGGAAATAGAGGTTATGACTGAGCGTGTGAATCTCATACTACAGGCAGTCTCCGAATGGGGCGATGCCAATCTCGTGCGATTCAACGCCCGCTTACCCTGGCTCCTACTTTACGGAATGTATTCTTGGAGTACAATAAAATGGGTTGAATTTTCTCCGAACATCAACTATGGGCGGTTCATTGAATCCAGAGAAAAAGCAGCCGTAAGGAAACTTGGTGTTCCTGCAAGGGTGCGGCGGTACTTCACGCCGGGACAGCTACTTACCTTATATAAAGCGCAAGTCCGGTCGTGCATGGACTACTGCTGTCACATATAGGCTGGTGCTGCAAAATGCCACTTGGCAGCATTGGACTCAGTGAGGAGACGTGCTACTCTTAGCCTCTGCTCATTGGTGATCTTGATTTGGTTGAAACTAACCTTGTCAGCCTCGAGCACAGGCGCAGAGTAGCCAGTCTTTTTTTTTTATTTATAGGATGCATTTCGGAGAGTGTGCGCAGGAATTGCACGCTCTAATTCCTCCCTCTCCTTTCCACCATCGGACGACCAGGCGGTCGGCGGGTCTTCACCCCTTTGTTGTCGATATTCCACGCATATTGTAGTAAGCACCAAGTAGTAAGTAGAACCAAACGGTTTACTTCGACATTTTTAATGCGTACAGCAAAGGACTGGAATAATTTGTCGGCGTCTATCTTTCCTTCCGAATAAAATCCGGGCGTCTTCGAGGCAAGAATAAATAGGCATTTGTTACGCTAAGACAGTGCGATTTACCATCTAAGGCTACATCACCACTTATTACCAGGTGGGAGGCTTATAAAAAGAAAAGAAAGATGCGCAGTAAACGAAAGAGCGTAACGTACTAGTCAGTGGCGGCCCTAGAAAATTTTTTAGGTGGTGCGCGATCTCATAGTGGCGCCCCTCTAAATACAAAACCTTAGTGTTCCTATACTATGCAGTTGCTTATTCGTGATTTTTAATATTATTAGACCTATCAAACATCTAGTTATATATATACAGAATGGGTCCCACATATATGCAATAAATGAAACCATATACTTGTTATCGCCTTTAATGACGATATACAAAAAATGAACGTAATCGGTCCAGTAATTAGGTCAAAAAGTAGAGTTTTAATTTTAAGCAAATTTGAACACTATAGAATTGGGTCACTAAGTCAATGATTCAATGAACTTGAATCCTTAAACATTAAAAAGCGACGTTGCCACGCAGTGCAAACTATTGGTATTGCGACATATCGACAGCGGTGTCTTTTGTCGGCGTGCCACCCGCGTGCAACGTTGTCACTCTTCCAAGGGGTCAAGGTACGTTGTCTAAACAGAGTGTTCACTTTTACTGAATTTATTTTAATATTTATTTTGTTTGAAAATTTCACTTTTTTATTTTACGGGTTTTAATTTAATATTTAATTTTTCTACACTTCTACGGACTAGTATTATTTGTGGTTTCATTTATTGCATATATGTGGGACCCATTCTGTATATATATATATTGTTCTGCAGACAGTGTTAAAAAGATAAAAGAACTAACAACAACAAACTTAATGAAAAGCCTAGATGGCCAGCTTCTTGACTCATGCGCTTGCAATTTTTTTATTAATTCGGAATAATTTGACTTAAAGGGCAACAGAATTTTCTATGGAAAAGATTCCCAGACATGACAATCTTTCCTGACACATGATAGTATCGTCGGTAAATTTTTAAATGTTTTAATGTACTAAAACTTCGTTTTCGTTTAGCGACAGTTATAGTACAGTAAGTGCCTTGTCTAAACATTTGAGAAAAATATCCTGCCAATCATTATTTTTAATAAGTCTGAGAACTTTATGTGGCTCTGCTGGTTGAAGATATTTAAATAATGGGTTCAAACTCATAAGTTCCTGAACCAATTTACAACTAGACAAATCACATTATGCCCATCTGTTCAACTGATTTGCAAATCAACACAGGCTTTTTGACCTTTCAGGAATTATTTTCATTTAATAGAAATGACCATATATCATCGAATTTTGATAGTTTAATTCAAGTAACCAATGCACTTTTAATTGTATCAATAAAAGGGTAAAAAATGTTCATTTTAAACAATTATATACGGTCAGTTGGTGTCTCACCTACGGCCTCGTGCACAAATATTTTCTTTCTTCGAGATCGGGTTTGCATAAAAATTTGATCAATCTGTTATTAGAGCAGATGAAAAGGCTCGGTACTGTTTCAAAATTCTGACAAAATTTTCAAACATAGATTCAGACTGCATAGCTTTTTTGTGGGAGCAGCTATGCAGGTCTAGAAAGACCAGTATCACTGCGATCTAAAATATCTATTGTGATCGCTGCTATGGCTATAGTTCAGTGCTAAGCCCTATATCTTAAATGAATAGGAGTTGCTTAGCTGTGAGCTATTTCACTTCTGCTGGGTGAAGTAGATAATTTCCCAGATGTGTTACGTTTGCGCATTAAGGGTCCACAATCAGTCAGGATGTGCAGAGGCGTTTCTTCCGGTAAGGAACAAAACCGGCACATCCTTGAGTTGCTTAGTCCCCGGATGGCTATATGCTTTTTAAGACAACAGTGTCCAGTCAGGGCTCTTGCCAGAATACTAATAGTTTATTTTTACCTAACCCCATGGCTTCTGAAGTGAATTTACGATCAAAAGCCCGGATCAAAAACCGGCTAAGCCCTATGTCTTCAATGAATAGAAGAATTTGCTTAGCCGTGAGCAACCTCACCTCTTCTGTGCGGAGTACATAGTTTCCTAGATGAGTGTTACGTTTGCGCATTAAGGGTCTGCAATCAGTTAGGATGTGTAGAGGCGTTTCTTCCATTATGAAACAGAACCGACGCATCACAAAATCACGCCTATGAAGTCCTGAATTTCTTAGTAGTACAGACAGTAACTGTCAATGTCATACTTTATGGGCATGCCGACCTAATTAGTGCATGCCCATAAAGTATGACATTGACAGGTACTGTGTATTACTAAGAAATTCAGGACTTCATAGGCTTGATTTTTACTGACAGCTGTCGCAGAGATCAAGCTATCTTTTATGAACTATAAATGATAAAATGGAAACATCGTATTGACGTGGTAGAGCCACGCTGCAGCTATATTATGGGTATAGGACGAATGAGTCAGCTTAACTGGGGAAAAACCTAGCTCTCACAGAATACCAGGGTAAAATAGCTGTCCAATGCTACTGTGTTCCGTATGGTGAGTGTAGAGAACCGGAGACCCTTTTTACTAGAAACGTGGCATTCCATCTTAGTTCTCAACGATGACCATATATCTGCAATTCGATTCTTAATTGGAGATAAATGTAGCTAGCTGTCTATGGGCCACAACATCCACTTGCCATCAGATCATTAAAAAAAAACACATCGGAAGTCGACGTAGCAAAGAGCATCAGTAACGAATTGCAGATTAAAAAATAACAATAAACACTATTTACGGCAATTAGACATTAATTGGAGAACATTTAGAATACGCATCCATTGAAGTTTTGTAGGTGCCTATAAACAAAGCTCCTTAGTTATATTGAACTTTGCCCTGGCCACATAGTTTTGGCGGGAACTTGGCCGTCGACGGACTGTCGCTCCTGTTTTGTCAATTGAATAATCGAATCCACTCCATTATAGGCGAATGCGAAAATTTTATCTAGACATGTGGCTACGGAAATGTGTCAACCAAGTTGTGAAAAGAAAAGGGCCTCGCACCGACACTGGGTATATTTACATGAACCATTTCGAGCTATTTGACACGAACATAACTAAACAAATATTAGTCATACGCACTTGTAATTTTGCATACCTAATAAGGAACTGTAAATACTCCAATCGCAACTTCATGAAAAAAACCTATTTCAGTTCTTGAGTTACTTCATGAAAAAACCTATTACAGTTCTTGAGTTATTAAGGCCTGAAGTGTTATTTCTATCACTCACAGACACATCTATAAAGAATCTAAGCCACTTCTATGTTACAAAGAATCATAAAATTTGGCATCAAGGTAGATTCAATAGGCATCTAGAAAGAAAATCTGAAAATTACAAACAATTGATTTTCGGTGTCGACAAAGTTATTGATGCTATTAGTTTTAACTATAGTAATAAATAGAAAACAGTGAAGCGTAAATGCAAGAAAAAACGTTGAAGATCATATATATTTTTTAGAATATTAAGAGGCTAAAACATTTTTATTCAAAGATAATGATTTCAATGAAAATGAAGCCCGAACGACATTCGCCTTCTCCAATAAAATAGTTCTAAACCGGCGCCAAGTTTCCCCTTTTTTTTATAGAATAAGAATGACAAACGACCACTCAGTGTTCACCTGATAGTATGTCGATGGTCCATAAACATCTACATCTACCTTCAGGAATTAAAATGCAATTCACCCGTGAGGACTAAGATGAATCGCCTCGTTAGCAATAACAGTTTTCGTTTCTCAACATTGTACATTGTTCACTGTACGAAACACAGGAGCATTATTTTGCTGTTCCACGCTTGTATTTTGTGAGGGCGGGGAACCTGGGTAGAGCTGACCCGTTCGTTTTACAGCCATAGAATATATGCAGCATGTTTCTAACACATATAAATCATTTCAAAGTCAGCAGAATTGTAATGTGAGTTGGAACAACGTTTGGCAAATATTGTGATGATGATGGTGTTATTTATTAAATAAATTTTGTACTTTTTAATTATTAAGCGTAAGCGCTAATATTGAAAAAAGTTTGTCTCACCATTTTTATAAAGTAATATTTGTGTAAACCCACCTTACCTATAATTATCAAAGTTGTTAATAGACTGATCACGGATACGTAAAAATAAAGACTGGTGTTTTATTCCGTATAATAAATCATCTGGATGCTCTTTTGGAATTTCTTCATCTTTTGTGGCTTCGAATTCCAGTCTTCTTGCTTCTTTTTTAGCCTTTAAAAAATTAAGATTATCTCATAAATAAAATTGTAAATGTGTAAAAATATTTTTAATCAAGCATTTTCTTGAAAAAGAAGCCATGAGATTGAGACCACTTGTAAAAACTTTAAATTATCTTTAAATACTAGGGTCGGCTGAAAAGTTTTGAGTCTAGGGACCGAGGATCAAAATTTTCTTTTTTTTCTGTAATCTCCCACTACTTCAATGCACTTCTTACATTTGTGACTAAAGGGTTTAAAATTTAAAATATTCGCCGTCTTTGTCTTCGAAAAGCAGCAGTAGACGAGCTGCTTTATTTTTTCGTTACTCGAAAATCTTCCTCTGTGGAGGTCTTTCTTCAAATTTGAAAATAACTTATAGTCGCAGTGGGCTAGGTCTGGACTGTATGGTGGGTGATCGCTTTCTTCAAATCCAGTTTTGTTCAGGGCACGCCTTGCAACTCGCGCAACGTGCACGGGCGCATTTTCTCGCAAAAACAGGACCTCCTTTCGCCAGTTTGCCTCTTCTTGTTTTGACAACCACTTGACGCACTTTTGTTAACAATGCAGCGTTATAATCCCCGTTCATTGTAATATTCTTAGGAAGATAGTCAATTAATAAAATTCAAACCCAAAAAACAATGGCCAAGAGCTTGGATGCCGATCACTCCACTTTGAATTTCTTCTTTTGACCCTTTTCAATCCACTGCATTGACTTTGGATAGTACTGCCAAATCCATATTTTATCAACAGTGACAATGTGAGAAAAAACATCGTCAGGATTATCGCCAAGGATGTCCGAAAACTCCTGTGAAGTTGTAACTCGACGCTGCTTTTCCTGCGGAGTAAGCATTTTAGGCACCCATCGTGCGCACACCTTTTGCATGTGCAAATGAGTATGCAAAATATCGCCGATTCAATCTTTGCTAATGCCTTTAGCTTCAGCTATTTGCCACAACTTTATTCACAGATCTTCTAGAAGAAGTTTCTTTACTTTTTCAATATTTTTTTCGTTAACGGCAGTGTTTGGCCGCCCTAATCTGGGGACATCTCCTATGAATCACTGCCATGCTTGAATTCTCGGTTCGTACGATTTACGGTGGCAAATGAAGGTCCAGAATCCTCATAAATCGTCGACATCTCCAAATATTTTCGTCAGCGTTTTGTTATTCTTTGTGAGGAATTTTATGACAACTCAGTACTCCAATTTCGTACAATGCGCAGATGACTGAGACATGATGATGTTTACGGATTAATTATTAAAATCGTAATGATGCTAATGATGTGAAACTCTGTATGTATACTAAGGAGGGTATTCGCAAATTAATAACATACAGCGCGAGACAATGATGATACTTGAAGGTATTTAGGCCACAAAATACCTAATAGTTCCATGTACAGAACGGCCACTCTTCCCACACTCATTTCAAATATCGCACCCACCCTGCACTTTGTTGTAGACAACACTGACACTTGAGAGAGGGCGAGTGTGATCGTTCAAACCTGACGCGAACACATGATTTACAATTTAAAAGATAGGTATAATTGTGTTTTCATTACGATGGTTGTATATTGTGCTGTATTTGGATGCTTTTCTACATCAAGGAATGATAAAGACAGGAGTTTCATTCCGTTCTTTACATAATATTCATAGTTTTATTATTGTTATATATTTTTAGTTATATATATTATATATAACTAAAAATATATAACAATAATAAAACTATGAATAATATTCCTATTACATATTATTCATAGTGTTACGAGCTTGAGGTTCGTGACAATAAAAATTGACGATAGAATTACCAAAATTAACTCTTTAATTCACTTTACAGTAATTAAACTTAAAACACTAATAATTAATCACACTGATTCACTTTATTCCGCTCCGAAGCTTCGCTTGTCTCGCCAAATTCAATACTTCCCCGCTCGCATCTTGCAGCGCCTTAAAATACACATTATCACCGAAACATCCAGAATATTCAAGTAAATACGCGCGCCAATCGACTAGGCATCGAAAGTTCGAGTGTCGGGCTTCTAGAAGCTTAGTTCTTCATTTCGATACTAGATGGCGCTGTCGGTTGAAAGATTAGTGATGTCATTTTCTGGAAAGCTCCCCTCGCTCTCGTCCCCGACACTAGATGGCGCTAGTGCCGGGTACATGACGTCAACTTAGGCGCGCAACAATAGTTTTATTATTATTATTACTTATCTACGATTTCATTAAGTTTAGAACTTCATCTTTCTACCATAAATACGTAACTACTTACAATTAATATTTCCGTTACGATACAATCATTTGAGCCGACGATGAAGCCGCCACGCCGCACCGCACTGCTTCAACGTCGGTCGTCGCATTCCCTATTAAATTTCACGAACACATTTGCGCGTGGTACAAACGTCATTTTCCTATGTAGTTGTAATAGGGAATTAATTTGCGAGCGTTGTATGGAGTGTCCGGGGTGCTTAGGCGTAAAACTTTTCAGCAGCCCCTCGTACGCTAAAAGTATTGGTAATATGGAAAAAATCTGCATTATTTTTTTTTACTATTTTTCTCAAGTAACATTTCAATCTAATTTGTGTTACATATCTATAATTTTTAAATATCACTGTTTGAGGTACATACTATCTAAGCGCTAAATAAAAAAATAATTGAGTCGCCCTAGACTAAAGTTAATCAATCAAATTCTCGATATATTAAAGATGGGCCAGATTAAGAGTACCCTTAAATGACATGCATGTATATGGATGTAAAGGAGATAAGAGGAGGAAAGGTGCATCAGGACCATGCCAAATGGAAGTCCGTAGTCTCTGCCTACCCCTCTGGCTTACAGGCATGAGTGTTTATGTTTATATAAACATATTATTTTTAAACACATTATATATGGATATATTAATAGTAATTATATAAATTGTATGATATTATGAAGGATTACTTTTTCATTTTCCCTTGATTTTTCTGTTTTCCATAGATAAAGTAAATAATTTGATCTTTGATTTCTACTTGAAAGAGACAACAAATGTTCCCAATGCCTTTTTTGTAAATTACTTGGGGCCTGTCGGCCATCTTGTCTCATAACTTCAACTTCTAGCATAAGTATTTTTAATTTTTTTTCTAAATCTTGATCTCCTTTACATAACTCCTCAATAACCCCTGAAAATGAAAATATATATCATTACATTTATCTATTAACTATTATTTTATACTGAATAAGTAGGAAGTTACTATAAGATGGCAGTATATGATAAACCACCATCATTCATCCAACTCAGTCCAATGCTAGTTACAGCATGAATGGATTGGTTGGACTACTAAAGGGCTATGCTCTCACAGAATACCAGTATAGGGCTGCTGCGAGTGACAAGAAATGATTACAGACATCAATTTTGCTGGTAATAGGACATTTTTATACAATATTTAAAAGAATACTTAAAAAATATTGAAAGCAATTTATGCTTTTACCCCTGGTTCAGAAACCTCTGTCCTGGGAAAAAATTGCAATAAACACAGTAAGAATTTATATAATAATAATTTACAATTTTCAGTAATCTCACTTGACCAGTGAGCGATCAAGAACAGTAGTCTTGTGTAGTTCTTGGACGATAAATTAATAGGAAATGTATCTTAGCACTGTATGAGAAGAAACTTTCTGAGCACTGATTGTTAATCAGTCTAATAACTCTTTTCGTACACCTACATTCGCAAGACGCCAGATCATACAGGTTAGGTTAGACAGGTTAGGTTAGAAGGGGAGGTTAGGTTACAGGTTAGGTTAGAAGGGAATGACAGGGTCGAGTGAGCAATCGAATAGACCCTGTCATCCTCTTCGTGGTTATTTTTTTGTAAACCACTCAGAAGTAGGAGCCCTGTGAAGCGGGGCTCCGTCGACCGGACTTCCCTTGACTGCACCACGTTAAGTGGCGTGGGGCTTCCGTCCCCAACTCTCTCCATAAATCAGGTTAATATTGTCATACAAATTACGAAATATAACCTCAAAATGAGATTTTTAAAAATTTATAAAAAAAAACTAAGCACGTCCGGCAGGAAGGGGAAGTAGAGAGTGACTCTACAACTCCTCCCCCTCCACCCACACCACCCCCACCCCCTAATTCAGGCGACCGAATAGTATACCTTACCCTATTCTGGTATTATTCAAACCAAACTGTAAATGATTACCAACTCTAAATAATCGATATTGATTTTTTTAAGAATCGAATATTGTATGTTCCCATTTTTTGATTGGCATGCCTGGTGCAATAAGTTTGACAGCTGTCAAAATGTATTTCTTAGATTTGGTTGACTATAATATGTAAAACACCCGCTAGATTATTACGTTCCATCATTCACCAACATGATAATATACCAAGTCTGGGCTGACACAGCTTTGACAACAATATTTGGCAGGCATCAATACACTTCATGCTAGGCACATAACATTAACAAATATATACGCTCACCCTTTATCAAAATAATAGCAATCATCGCTAATTTTCTTACAGATAATTTTATAATAGCATATACTTTAAGTTAAAAAAAGTTACAGCACATCCCACAGCTGGGCACAGGCCACCTCTCATTTCTGAGAGTTTAAGGGCAAGGAAATGTCCACCGCGCTGCCTCAATGTGTGTTGGCGAACATCATGTCTTCAAATTACTTTTGTTTCTCTTATTTCTTAAATATGTAGGTTTCTTCAAAAATATATAATAAATCAGCACTTAAAATTGCAATTAATTATTTCATTGGTGCCGGCAGGGATTGAACCTGGTATCCATGCATGCATACTATGAAATTTACAGGAAGCACTTAGCCCTTGAACTACCATGGCTCTCATAGAAATAGATATTTGAACATGAATAATTGTTACAAAAACAACACTAAGCTTCTCCTTACGCGTCTTGCCGAACAAAATGATCTACACTCACCGGCACGGAAACTTGGCCAAGCGGTTATCTCGCGATAGCAAAAGCTTTAAGTGTTTCTGATGAATGTTTGTTATGCAAGTATGTCAAAAAATGTTTACCCTCAAGTTCAAGAGGGTAATTCATTATGTTTAAGTGCACCATGACGAATTCTTTAATTTTTAGTTGAATCGGGTCATTTGAGCGACTAAGTTCACATTTTAAATTTGTGTGTTGTGAAAAGTTTACTGTAAGGTTATTCAATTATTGTGATCTTGTGACTTAATTAAATAACTAAAGGTGCTTTAAAGCCAATAAAAATGCCATTAACACCAGCACAAGTTGCACAAGCAGTAGCATTAATTGACCAAGGGCTGACACAGCGTGAAGTTGCTATTGTGCTTAACGTACCACGGTCCTCAATGCAGTATTCACTGAAACGATACCAGGAGACAGGCCGCTACACCCGCAGGCCAGGCAGTGGGGGCGTAAGGTGCACATCGGCCCGGGACGATCGTTTTATTGTTATGGAGATTTTGAGAAACCGCTACCTGACCGCTGTTGAGATACGCCAGCGGCTCCAAATCGCAAGAGGCGTTAATGTTAGTGAGCGTACGGTGAGAAGACGAATGGAGGAAGTGAATTTAAAAGCTCGTAGACCAGCACGAGGTCCAGAACTTCTCAGACAGCACCGAGTAGCCCGACTTCAGTTCGCAAGAGAACATGTCAATTGGACCCACGAGCAATGGGCTAGAGTGTTGTTCACAGATGAGTGTCGAATAGCTTTACGTGCTCCAGACGGTCGAGAACGAGTGTGGAGAAAAAGAGGAGGGAGAGGTTTCTACCCATTAACACCACCCAAACTGTGAGTTTCCATGGAGGCTCAATAATGGTATGGGGAGGTGTAAGTTCCGACGCACGTACAGAGTTGGTCATCGTCGATAATCGGCTTACAGCTACTCGATACATCGAGGAAGTTCTTCAGGAGCATGTAATGCCTTATTCGGGATTCATTGAACACGACCAATTCCTCCTCATGCACGATAATGCACGCCCGCACGTCGCACATTGTGTAGAGGAATATCTGGAAGAGGTTGGAATACAAAAATTACAGTGGCCAGCTCGTAGCCCGGACTTAAATCCAATTGAGCATGTATGAGGTATGCTCAAAAGAAAGATAAAGTCCAGCTCCAAACCGCCACAAACTCTAAATGAGCTCCGAAATGCAGCGCTGGCCGCTTGGGACAGTATACCGCAAGTTGATGTCAGAAACATCATTCAAAGCATGCCAGATCGAATGCAAGCGGTTATCAGGGCTAGAGGAGGAAACACCCGATATTAAAACTGATAGACAATAAAGAAACAGACTTAATTTTTAACTTTGTAGTGTTTTTAAAGTGACAATGGAAAGATGTTAATTTTAGTGAAAACATGTTATCTTGAAAAGAAAAATTTCGGTGAAGTAAACATTAAATTTCTATGTTCTAAAACCATTAGAGACACTTATTGAATGCATCTACCCTTAATTTACTGTTAAAAAAACGTTTCAGTGCAAATAATCAGCAAATTCACGAGTGGCCAAGTTTCCGTGCCGGTGAGTGTATAACGGGCATCATAGTCATATACATATAGAATTGAGATGATGCATTCACTGAAATGAGGGTACGATACGTTGCTGAAAGATTTAGTGGACGCAGTGATGACTGCCGCGACCTTTTTGTGCCTAATACGTTCATAGTATGCCATTGTAATGAACCAAGACTAAGGTTTCTGTAGAAATTTATGTAATAAGTTATTGACTTAAATACAATGTTATAATAAACTATGGTTTATAGATCGATAAAACAAAACTAGCAGAATAATCTATAAAGTAATCACCAGATTCATTATCATCTTGAGACACATAAGATCTTGTAGGCAATAAGCACTGCTTTTTATTTACACGTTGAATGATTGAAGAAACTTGCATGTACCGCATATTTGAAAGTATAGATTTAATACACTGCATTGTTGGTACTCAGCTTAATTCGGTTTTTTCCTCAATCTCAAATGTAAATAGTCAATTTCAAAACAAATTCAAGTATCTTCCTGTACGATAATTTCCTAAGTATTTTTTTTATTAACTGGCAATACGGCTCTAGGTTCTAGCCCTTCTGAACCTGTTCCTCAGTATCTTCCCTTTCTAGCACCGAGTATTTTTTATATTTTCTAGTACATATTATACAGCACAGATTCTCTGACTATAACCACAAACTAATAAGAGTACTAACGTACTATAACATCAACTATAATTCATAGTATATATCAATAGTTATGTGTGGCACAGATCACTACTAGCATCATAGTAGTCTGTGCTACTAACATATAACATATTGAAGTGTCGATGACCATACGGCACATAATATCGATATCATAGTGATGTTCCATAACTTTTTTATAGGTTCAATAATATTTGCAAGGTTTATTTTTCTTTCTTTATGTTCATAGGCTACGAATATAACAAAAGGATGTAAAAATAAAACGACTTTAGATATTTTACTTTTACAGTTTATTCCTCTTAACATGTGGGTTCTAAATTTATCAAAGGCAATTTGTTGAGGTGCACACATTAGTCTCACAAGTCTTTCGTTGTACACCTCCTTTTAAAATTTTATTTATTATGTTGCACCAATTATAATATACAGTAATCTATGATCTATGATCTCTTTTTTATTTTTTTACTGATTTACGGCTCTAGATTCTAGCCCTTTTGAGTCTATCATTTTTTAAAGAATATTAACAATGCTATAAACTAAGGGTGGGCATTGAATGTACGAACCCGTGAACGACAATTTACATCTCGCACATACACCGTTGAGTGTTTGCCGAAAGCCGAAACTGTTTCGCTGCCCACTCGTCGATCAAGCATTCCGTTCCCTTCATACGTGCTTATTTCGACGACTATCTCTCTTTCTCCACGTGCTCGAAACTCGAACCACTGAGTGGGAGCAGTTTTGTAAAAATAAGCTCTATTTCAATGGAAATATATATGAAATATGCATATCAATATAAGGCGTAGGCAGGGTTTTGAGTTTAGTTTTTAGTCTCCAACTCTCCATGGAAATACGCTTTGCATTGCTCAAAGTTAAACTTATTTAGTACATTTATAATTGAAGAGATTAACTAAAGTGTAAATAATTATGCAAAGTAGGTTTAATTTCTAGTGTTTATAATAACAGTGTGAACAGTAATAGTGTTTAGTGTATTAGGTATTTAAGTGGTTAAATAGTGTAAATATTAATTATGTCGGCGTCGGCCCGTAAAAACAGTTGGGTGATATGGCACCATTTTGAAAAAGATAGTAAAACTTTTAAAGCAACGTGTAATGAATGTAAAGATCTGTTAAGTTATAAGTCATCCACCGCCAATTTGAAAAGTCATCTGCGAAGAAAACATCCTTCGTCGTTTACCAATTAGCGAATCAACGTAGAACGACAAGTAGTTTATATTGACGTAAACTATTCATCGATCATGTCTCGTCGACAGCATAAACTAGTCGAAAAAAAACTGTTTTCTAAACTAGTTTATCGTTGACGGCAAACAGTTTCGTTTCGACTGTAAATACGTCGACGACCTATTCCTACTACAAACATTACTAATATTCCCCTTAACCACTCGTGGTAAGCTTAAAATTGCTTGTGTTACGAGTGGTTCACGCCAGTAGTTGAATGGCGGATTCGAACCCACGACCTTTTTGAGTTCGCGGCCCGCGCCCTGCCATTAGGCTACTGTCGCTTCAAATATTTCTTTTGGAAACTTCATTTTTACGTTCTTTTTCTTTACAATATGCTGATGCATCACATTGCGAAGCCCTTGGGAGAATTTGACGACAGCTCAACCCAGCTGATAGTTGATGACGAAATAACTTGAGGTTTATAACGACATCAAAGCACTTGTTCCATCGTTTTCTCTAATAGTTCACAAGCGCATACACTTAATTCACAAAATAACATCACTTTTGCGAATCAAAAGCCACTTCAAATCATTATTCAAGCGACGAAACAGGAGCGACAATCCGCCTGAGCCAAGTTCCCGCCAAAACTGCTAATCTATGATCTTCCCTTCATATAACATAGATCAGACAGCTAAACACAGAGTACTTTTATGTAGGGAACAGTTAAGCTAAGTAGGCATGTCGATCTAAAATCAATTAATCCAAAAAATCGATTATCCGGACTAAAATAATCGATTTTTAGATCGATTTGGAGCACCGCATCGATTCGATGAATCGATCCAAAAACCTCTCGAATCGGACTGATTTAACTGAGCTGCCGGCCACGGGTGGTAATCTCTATACAAATATTCCTAGCCTTATGTCTATGGCCCTCAAAAATCGATGTTGACAGCTATTGACTACAAATGTATAAATATGTAGCTACGGATTTAGATTGACGTTTGTTTTGACGTTTCTGTCCACACCCTACCATGTGTCTCACTTCACTTCGTCCGTCGTCACGTCGTCACGTCACGTCACTTTATTTTTATACAGTTCTAGACTAGGCATGTCGATTCACTCTTAAAAAAATCGATCTCTGAATCGATTTGAATCGAAAACACTAGAATCGATTATCGATTAAATCGAGGATTAAAAGATCGATTTTCGATTAATCGCGACATTTTTAAACTTGAAATTTCAAGAATTTGCGATTTTTTCTTTAATTGAACTTTAATATTTTTTTAAATAAAATATCAGTAATTTTAATAATTAACATTATTAACATTCCTTTTAACCACTCCTGGTAAGCTTGAAACGCTTGTGTTAGTAGTGGTTTGCACATAAGCCACTCGATCCTTTTTTTTACAAAGTGATTCCATGTATCACTTTCATTTGACATTTTAGGCTAGAAACAACAACAATACTTTAACAAAAGTTCAAATTGCAACGTACATTTCTTGATAAATCTGTTTCAATCTAATAACTCACTATTTATCAAATTGAAGTGAATGCTACACGAACACAATACTGGTTATTTCCTTACTATAAACCTCTATAAACTTCAACATATGATATTTATTTACAGTATATAGGTATTTAAAAAGTACTCTGTCTGTACTTACAGCTCACAGTATGTATGTTTTTGATAATAAATAAAGTAAATTCACAAGTTCACAGTACAAACAGGTTCACAGCTATAATATATTGTAATATGTATATGTAGTCTTTGTTCACAGCACAGATTAAGTTAGACCAACATTCCACAGGTAAGATTAGAATTAGAATTTTAGAAATGAATATGAAATGACAACTTTTCGATATTGTTGGATGCGTTCATAAATATTTATTTTATTCAAATATATATTGAGTTCAAATTATCAACCAAGTATGACCGGTTGTTTTTGCGTCCCCAACAGCAAAAAATTAAAAAACTGCGGTATCTGACCCAGCCAGTTTGGGAATTTTATCGCTAGTTCTTGAATCAGATGTATCAGTCCGATTCGAGTGGTTTTTGGATCGATTCAGTGAATCGATGCGGTGCTCGGAATCGATCTAAAAGATCGATTATTTTACGCCAAAGAATCGATTTTTCGATTAATCGATTTAAGATCGACATTCCTATTCTAGACCATATTCCATGGCAGTTAAACTATATAACACATTACTCAAAGATATAATAGAAATAGAAGAATATAAGAAGTTTGTGATAGCACTAAATAGCTTTTTGATTAAGAAATGTTACTATAAATTAGATGAATATTATGTTAAGTTAAAGTAAATAAATAAATATAGTAATGGAATATACACTAAATATTATAATAATACAAATATTAGTATTAGAATTAAGGCATTAGAGCTAGCTAGCTTGATTTCATTTTGTTATACTTTTGCTGGGTGCATGTGCTGTAATTTATCATACAAAACCACATGTAAATGCAATAAATAAATAAATAAAAGACAGCCACTATTTCAATACACACCACAGAGACAAACTATACCTACCACCATCAAGAATTAAAATGCTAAACCAGAGTCGCTACTACATGGCTGTAAAAACACAACATTTACAATAAATTACATATCCACATAAAAACTGAAAATAAGATTACACTATTCATTAAAAAACTAAAAGCATTATTATTATTTAATTGAAAAATGTTTCTACTCAATCAAAGAATACATTGAAGCACTAGTAACAAAACACAAATAACAAATTACATATTTTTAACACAAATAAAATACATAAAAAAAGGAAAAGCCATTTTGATACACAGTAATATTATGAACAGTATCAGTAGAAGAAAAATTATGTGTTTATGTAAAATGTCACAAATACCTTTGTATTTTGCATGATTTATTATTGTTCATTTATTAGACTATATTATTGATCATTAATCTAATTTCTCTATAATGTTTGTATTTAATAATTTATTTTATCTATACTTTCTCAAATTTGCAATGCCTAAATAAAGACAAATTGTTTTTATTATAAGACCATTTATGTACACTTCGTTGGCAAATAAAAGTTGATTGATTGATTGACAAACATCATGTGTTGTAGTCATATACCACATGATGCTTTATTATGGTGGTAGTATGAATCAACTCGACTAGGGTAGAATCACACTCTCATTAAATGCCCACGTAATATAGCAGCCTAATTCTGCCGTGTTTTGTACGATAAGTGTAGACCATCAAATTAGTTCAGTCAAAACAGGTGCATTTCTGACAGTTGACTTAACATCTGACGAAGAATACAAATACATGTTGAATCAACCTGTTATAATGGTCATAGGTGTTATGGGTGCTGCAAAGCAGTGAAAATATAGGAAGTTAAAAGTAAGAAATTTAAATGGGATAACATCTGTATAAGTTTTATAAAAACTTGTTTTGCTTTTAGTGGTTTTGTTTCCTTTTATTCTACTGTTAACAAAACTTACTTTATCATCATCATTACAGCTCTTAATAAGTCCATAGCTGAACATTAGCCTCCCCCAAGGAAT